ATATATATATATATATATATATATTTCAATATGGAGTTTAATATCCTTTATTTTAAATGAAAATAATATAGTCATTTAATTAGAATTTATTTTATTAGTTTAATTAATTGGAGTTTTAAAATAAATAAATGTTGTTGTCTGAGTATGTTCTGATAGTTAAGTTTGGGTTTAGACTAGAAATCCAATTCAATAGTTAATTTAGACTAAGTGGAGGATTAAGGAGGTTATGCTTCAATTTTGTGTTATATGTTTTTTATACTTGTTCCGGTCACGGGATGCGCTAGGGTTTTTCCTAGATCAAGCCGCAAAGCCAGAGCATTCGAAAAGTGTAATCTGCCCTCTCATCTCTAGGGTTTTGGGTTTTATGGTACGTCGTTCATGGGCTACTTGGGCCCCGAGGATCAAGGGATTTCCTTAACCGTTAATATTTGGAGAATATCTTGTCATTAAAGATGGGATTTTATCCCTGATATCGGAACAGTATCTATGTGGGAGAGTTAGATCGGATTTTGGCCGAGTTACTCCTGCAGAGCAGACAGGTCGGATTCTAACCGAGTGCACCCATGTAGATGGGTTGGATCGGATTCTGACCGGGACGGTACACTTGCCTTCCAGCCTTGAGCCTATAAGGCGAAAAGGCTTGTAGCTTGGTAACCTAGTCAGGTATTAGCCGAGCAGAAGGTCAAGTCAGATTTTTACCTAAACGGTACACTAGTCGGATTTTTACCTAGACGGTACACTTGCCTTCCAGCCCTGAGTCTATAAGGCGAGAGGGCTTCTGGCTTGGCTCTTACGAACCATATCAGAAATAAGTAGAGTCAAAGCGGATTCCGGCCGAGTTGAGAACAAGTCGCCCAAAATCCGATCTAACTCTCCCGACTAATAACACCAAAAATTTTAACCAAGTTTGGAGCACTTTTTGAAAACATTTAGTCGTCCAAGTACCAAATACGAAACCTTCTAGTCGTTCGAATACCGATTAGGTAACACCAAAGATTTATTTATCTAACAAGAATATGAAAATATCTAGTCGTCCAAATACCGACTAGTAGCGCCAAAAATTTAATTAAATATAAAGTGCATATGAAAATATATAGTCGTCCAAATACCGACTAAAGAAGGAAAAGTTTTCCAAGTGAAACTTAATTTGAAGAAAACCACTCGGCCAAATACCGATTCAAAAGAAAGGAAAATTTTTCCAAGTTAAAATTAATTTGAGGAGAACCACTCGGCCAATTACCGATTAAAGAAGGGACCTCAAAGTCGGCCAAAAACCGGTTTACATAGCGAACAAGGGAAATTTCCCAATGATGAATTTCCTGTCGATATTTCAAGAATTAGCTTCTTTTTCATTGCTCATATGTCTTGTTGCATTAACTACTTTCCTGTACTTCCCATTTGATCATGCGAATGTGGCAATGCACTTAATCGTCCCAATACCGACTAGTAACGCCAAAAATTTACTTAAATTTAAAGCACAGGTGAAAATCACTAGTCGTCCAAATACCGACCATATCTAGTCCGTCTAGTCGTCCCAATACCGTCTAGTAACTCCAAAAATTTACTTAAATTTAAAACACAGGTGAAAATCACTAGTCGTCCAAATACCGACCATATCTAGTCGTTCAAATACCGACTAGTGACTCCAAATTTTTCACCAAGTTTTACAACAGTTGAAAAATAACTAATCGCCCGAATACCGACCATATCTAGTCGTTAAAATACCGACTGGTAACATCAGAAACTGAACTAAGTAAGGAACTTGTGGTACCTCTGAAGTAGGAAAGATATGAGAATCATCTTGTGAGAATCACTCTGAATGTATTGATTGAACTACCAGTTCCGATATACCACCCTAATCATGTGAGGGGGCCAAGATTGATGTTTAGCTTGATCTTGTGGAAACTGAAGCGAATTGCGAGTCTCCGCCTGTGGATTGAGATGATTTGCAATCGGTGGTCGATCAGTATTTTCAAATTAGGAGTACTTCTAAAGCAGTTCGTGTTATAGAAACTTTGAGCCGTAGTCGTGGTAATTTGAACCTACAATTAAGCCCTGATTCGTTGTTGTCACTGATTCATTTGAACTACCCGTTCTGGGTTATTTATACTCGCCAAGTCGGAATCTAACCGATCAAGGTCGAGTTTTTTCACAAAACGAGTTATTTATACTCGCCCAGCCGGACTGTTGCCGACAATCACGAGTACTCGCCAAGTCGGAATCTAACCGATCAAGGTCGAGTTTTTTCACAAAACGAGTTATTTATACTCGCCCAGCCGGACTGTTGCCGACAATCACGAGTTCTTCGAGTTATTTATACTCGCCCAGCCGGACTTTTGCCGACAATCACGAGTTTGCCTACAAGTCAGAATCAATTTGAAAATAATTTGAAAATAATGATTTTTATTATTTGATGTTACCTCGTTAAAAAACCTTTGTAGCATAAAACCCTCGCAGCAGACTCCCATGCTTCCTCCACGAATTAACATCTGGGCACGAAAGTCCATTAGATGTTGACTAGGATCCTGTTTCCCGTCAAACGGTTCCAACTGCTGATACGAAGCTGTTCTTTGACAAACCGGACCTTAGATTGACGATCCGAACGGTCAGAATGAAGAACCTCACTTCCCGAACCTATAGTCCAAAAATCAGCCCGATCCAACGGTGAACGACTTCACACCGATTAAAACACAGTACCAGTCCTGTTTTGCGCTAGAACACTTTCACCTACTGATACGAAGTTTTTTTCTCCCAAACCAGGCCTCCGGTTAATAATCCGAACGGTCAGAATGAAGAACCACACTTCTGGAACCTACAGTCCAAAAATCAGCGCGATCCAACGGTGAACGACTTCACACCGATTAAAACACAGTACCCACTCTGTTTTTGTGCGGGAAACTTCCTCTCCTTCTCTCTCTCAAGGTCGCTCTCCTCTCTCAAGCCATTGATCAACGCTATCATCTCCTCCATGGTAGGGTGTTGTGGGTCGTGGTTGGATGTGCCGCCTCTCGCCGTAGTAGAGTGTAGGTTTTTTTTTTGTGACTTGGGGCGTAGGAAGCCACATGCGGATGTTTTTGCGGTTTCTCCTAGGATGCAAATTCATTTTGTCATCTTTATTCGTGTTTAACATATAAGGATTAATCAAGTTTAGTCTATCTTATGATATTATATATATAGAGAGATTTGTTTACTCCAAGAGTAAGTCTATATAAACTTATTTTATTCAAAAATTCGTATTTTACATGAAATTTGAATGATTTAATCTTGAATTTAAAATTCTTAATGTATAGATCAAATCTGTAAATTTTTAAAAAATTTGAAAATCCTTTGATATTTCGTTTCATTAATTCAAATTGACGGATTATCATAAATGGTTTTCAAATTTTTTAAAAATCATTTTATACATTGATTTGAATTAATAAAACGAAGAATGAAATGATCTTCATATTTTTTAAAAATTTATAAACTTGATATATGCATTAAAAAATTTAAATTCAACGATGGAATCATCAAAATTTGATGTAAAACATGAGTTTTTGAACTGAGTAAGTCTAAGTAAAGTTTATGATAAACTTATTCTTAGAATAGATTGATCACTCCTTATATATATATTTAATTAGTAATGTTAAGAATGCATGAGAGAGTCACTCCGGTCTCCAAATTCTATATTTTAATTTATAATATGAGTGAATATTTATTATATTAAAAAACTGATAACATTTAATGATTTTTAATAATTATAATTTTAAATAAAATTTATTAATATTTTTTTAA